ATGGCACAATTTCTCCGAAACGAGGCTAAGTTGAATCGAACTCCGGACCTAAAAGTAGAATATGATAATGTTGTTCGAGAGTACGAAATACTGGGTCACATGACTAAAGTTTGCTCTCCAATTACTCCAGAAAGTACTCCAAATCCTAAATTTTACTATCTACCACATCATGCTGTAATTAAGCCTGATAGTGTAACTACGAAGGTCCGAGTTGTTTTCAATGCCTCATCTCCTTCATCCAATGGACTTAGCTTAAATTCCTTGTTACATGTTGGTCCAATTTTGCAAAATGACCTAACGGTTCTCATCCTTAAATGGCGGTTCTACAAATATGTCTTTAATGCCGATATCCAAAAGATGTATAGACAGATTTTGGTCGATCCTAAGTACACTCCATATCAGCGAATCGTATTCCGCGATAACCCGAACAGTCCAATCTGTGACTACGAATTAAAAACGGTCACGTTCGGGGTTAATTGTGCGCCATATTTGGCCATTCGTACTCTCCTGCAATTAGCTGACGACGTACAAGGACTTTATCCGATAGCTAGTTCTATTCTGAGAAACTCAATGTATGTCGATGATGTTTTGGCCGGTGCTCATTCTGAGAACGATTCCATAAGAGCAAGAAATGAGCTAATTCAAGCACTTAAATCAGCTGGTTTCGATCTAAGAAAATGGACGTCCAATTCCCAGAGCATATTAGCAGATATTCCTTCTGATTTCCTTCTCCATGAAAACTTCTTAAAATTTGAAGATTATAGCTCGGCAAAAACTTTAGGCATTCGGTGGAATGCTTGCCTAGATGAGTTTTTCTTTATTGCGAGCCAATTCCAGGAGTCATCAAATTTTACGAAGAGAGAAGTTTTGTCGAAAATTGCGAAACTTTTCGATCCCGCTGGCTGGCTAGCTCCGTGTATTGTCCAAGCGAAGATCATCATGCAAAAAATTTGGATTGATGGCACTGGTTGGGATGAAACCCTAGCTCCAGATACCCTTAATCAGTGGAAAGCATTCGAAGACAATTATCCCACAATCAATGCCATACGGATTCCTCGATGGATTGATTATGTTCCGAAAGCTGAAGTCCAGTTCCATGGATTTTGCGATGCCTCGGAAAAGGCATACGCTGCTGCATTATATGTTCGAGTGTCGACTCCTAACTCTAGTAGTACCCACCTAATATCGTCCAAAACAAAAGTAGCTCCCATTAAAACTCTGTCTATTCCGAGACTTGAACTTTGCGGAGCCCTTTTGCTTGCTGAAATGATAGACAGTCTGTTGCCCAGTTTGGATGTGGATAGGTACGATATATTCTGTTGGACGGATTCCACAATTGTGCTTTCTTGGCTAGCTAAAGCACCGTGTAACTGGCTTACCTTTGTCGCGAACAGAGTTTCCAAGATAACACAAATTGTTCCCTTTTCCAAATGGGGTCATGTGGTTTCTGAAGCAAATCCGGCGGATTTAGCAAGTAGAGGTCTTTGTCCACAAGAGGTAAATCAAAATGATCTTTGGTGGTTTGGCCCATCTTGGCTTAAAGAACCTACATCTAAATGGCCAAACTTCAAAATGTCGAATCTTCCAGCTACCGATCTTGAGGTCAAACCTATTCGTGTCCATTTCTCCTATTTCTCCAACTTCGAAGATTTGCTAGAAAGATTTTCCTCCTTTTCCAAGGCAATGCGTGTAATGGCATATGTCTACCGATTCTTCTATCGAACTCATCCGAGATTCCGTTACAACTTCTATCGAGAAATAACATTACTTTCTAGCTCCGAAATAGTTTCCGTTCGCGATCGACTCATTTCCGTTTGTCAAAAATTCGCCTATCCTAATGAGTACAAAGCTCTCTCATCCAGAGAAGAGATTTCTAAATCCAGCAAGCTTCTGAACCTTAATCCTTTTCTCGATCCAGAAGGCCTAATACGATCCTGTGGCAGACTTGAGTTATCCCCAGACCTATCCTATAACGAAAAGTATCCGATTATTATTCCGTACAACTCCCAATACGCAAGACTCTTAGTCCGATTTATCCATGATATCAGCATGCATGGTGGAAATCAACTAGTTCTACGTCTCCTACGTATGCAATACTGGATCCCAAAGGCCAAAAATCTCATCAAGACGACCATAAATCACTGCAAGCCATGTTTACTTTACAAGAAAAGATGTCAGAAACAGATTATGGCCGCCCTACCTACAGAACGTAGCGAGATTTCGCGGCCATTTACCCGTACTGGCTTGGACTTTGCCGGTCCTTTTGATGTGAAAAGTTATTCCGGTCGTGGTTGCAGAATGACTAAAGGGTACGTGTGTGTATTTGTGTGCTTCGCTACTAAGGCGATCCACTTAGAGGCAACATCCGACCTCTCTACTCCTGCATTCCTAGCAGCTTTTAGTCGATTCGTCTCGCGTCGTGGATGTCCTTTGCACTTGTATTCTGACAATGGTGCTAACTTCGTTGGTGCTTCTAAAATCCTAGCCAAGGAATTTCTCCAAACGAGTTACCAAAGAGTCCAAGCAAACTATGCTCATCAGAACATCACCTGGCATTTCATTCCAGCTGGCGCTCCTCACATGGGTGGTTTATGGGAGGCTGGTGTTAAAAGCTTTAAAGCCCATTTCCGCAAAACTACCGGATGTTTAAAATATACACATGAGGAACTCTCGACACTTCTATCCAAGATTGAATCCTGTCTGAACTCTAGGCCAATTTCTCCGATGTCCACTGATCCTACGGATCTTTGTGCGTTAACTCCTGGCCATTTCCTTATTGGGACTCCAATCCTGGCTCCTGTGGATCCCCAGATAAATGAATCCGCGATTTCCATAGTAAATAAGTGGCAGAGGTTAAAGCTAATCCATCAGAAGTTCTGTCTCCGATGGAAAAACGAGTATCTAAAGGAACTCCAAAAGCGAGTAAAATGGCAAAGGCCAGAACCTAATCTCCAAGAAGGCTCACTGGTCGTTATAAAAGATGAGAATCTCCCACCGAACTCTTGGCGACTAGGTCGAGCTACGAAAGTATATCAAGGTTCGGACAATCGTGTACGGGTCGCTGATATATTGACACAACGCGGCGTCATAACTCGTCCCGTCGTAAAGCTCATACTTCTGTTTGCACAGTCTTAACCTTTTCGGTTTTGTTATTTCGTTTTAAATTCACTTTTCTTTCTAACTAACTTCTTTTCCAGGTCAAAATGCCAAAAATACAATCCAGCTCATCGTCTAAAACATTTCCATGCAGAATCTGTAAACGTCCGCATCCCCTACGAACATGCCGAAAATTCCTGGCAATGAATATGAGCGATAGGCTCCGTGCAGTCCGAAAACATAAGTACTGCTCCAACTGCCTAGCACATGACCATTCCCAAGGCAGATGTCTTTCCAGGCACGGATGCAAACATTGCCACAAACTTCATCATACTTTGCTGCATGTCAATCCGCGATTGGCCAAAGACCTATTGTCCACTCGTTCGAGGTCACGATCTCCTTCTCCTCCACGGGCTTCTTCCTCCAGGGCAAGCAAAACCTCGTCCTCCAGGACTCCTAAAGAGTCATCGCCGCCGTCTACCTCTAAAGCTGCTTCCCTCACCTCGATTCTTCGTCAGAACACTTTGGTCCTTTTGCCGACAGTTCTTGTGAAAGTTGGGTCCACAACTTCACATGCGCGGTGTCTTCTAGACTCGGGGTCGACAGTTAGCCGAGTTGCAAAGAAATTTGTCGACGAGTTGAACTTGACTGCATACTCTTTGCATGATGAGACCGTTTGCCCGATCATGTTGAAGTCCCGTTTCGATTCGTCCTCAAAAATTTAAGGAAATTTTCGCGTAGATAATCGAATTACGATTCATACTCCCTCCGAATCTCTTCCTGAATCGTACAAGAAAAATTTCCGTGACTTATTCCTTGCCGATTCAAAGTTTTATGAGTCGGCACCTATCGACATAATTATAGGCGCCGACCTGTATCCAAAGGTTATTCGGGAGGGTGTATTTTCCCGAACAGGTTTTCCAACTGCCCAAAGCTCCATGTTTGGTTGGACTATCTATGGGCCGTGTTCGTTGTAAATAATTAAAAACACTTTTGAGAAGAAATGCACTTTAGAAAAGCAAGATACAAAACGTACTCATAGAACTTAATTGAATTGTTCCTTAAAATACAAGAAAAATATATATTCCTTGAATTACTATTTGAATTAAATATCATAAATTAAGTTTATTAATCCAATTATCTGATTTATCATTCCAGAAGCAGTATCTTGACAACATCAATTTGATTTTCCGTTTTTTCCGGGTTCTTCATTTCTTTATAATTGCATATCCTGCAAGGCGGGTGGCAATGTTAATGCCAAAAGCCTTAACCAACTTTTTGGGTTCTCCCTAATAGTTTTATTACATATAAAAGCTAATTGTTTTATGATAGATAGTTATTGCAATAACTATCTATCTCTTTTCATTTTTTCGCCTAAACCCAAATGTCAAATTGGTGAAGTGTCTAAGCTGCTGTTTCCGGTTTTACAAAACTAAAATTTTCCTTCTTGTATCACTAGCAGCCGACTGAAAAGGTATTCCTTATATCCATTTATCCCAATAAAGAATTTCCTATAATTATCCAAAATCCTAATACTTGGTTTTGTTTATTTCTTTTTTTTTCCTACATTTGCCCCTGGGTTGTCTATATTGAGTAAACAAATTATATTAATAATTTGTTTATTTGGCTCTGAGAGTAACTCCATACACTTTCCAACCAGATTCCCACTCCTTGCTTCCCCACGTCAACATATCTATCTATCTATCTATCTATCTATCTATCTATCTATCTATCTATCTATCTATCTATCTATCTATCTATCTATCTATCTATCTATCTATCTATCTATCTATCTATCTATCTATCTATCTATCTATCTATCTATCTATCTATCTATCTATCTATCTATCTATCTATCTATCTATCTATCTATCTATCTATCTATCTATCTATCTATCTATCTATCTATCTATCTATCTATCTATCTATCTATCTATCTATCTATCTATCTATCTATCTATCTATCTATCTATCTATCTATCTATCTATCTATCTATCTATCTATCTATCTATCTATCTATCTATCTATCTATCTATCTATCTATCTATCTATCTATCTATCTATCTATCTATCTATCTATCTATCTATCTATCTATCTATCTATCTATCTATCTATCTATCTATCTATCTATCTATCTATCTATCTATCTATCTATCTATCTATCTATCTATCTATCTATCTATCTATCTATCTATCTATCTATCTATCTATCTATCTATCTATCTATCTATCTATCTATCTATCTATCTATCTATCTATCTATCTATCTATCTATCTATCTATCTATCTATCTATCTATCTATCTATCTATCTATCTATCTATCTATCTATCTATCTATCTATCTATCTATCTATCTATCTATCTATCTATCTATCTATCTATCTATCTATCTATCTATCTATCTATCTATCTATCTATCTATCTATCTATCTATCTATCTATCTATCTATCTATCTATCTATCTATCTATCTATCTATCTATCTATCTATCTATCTATCTATCTATCTATCTATCTATCTTATCTATCTATCTATCTATCTATCTATCTATCTATCTATCTATCTATCTATCTATCTATCTATCTATCTATCTATCTATCTATCTATCTATCTATCTATCTATCTATCTATCTATCTATCTTATCTATCGATCTATCTATCTATCTATCTATCTATCTATCTATCTATCTATCTATCTATCTATCTATCTATCTATCTATCTATCTATCTATCTATCTATCTATCTATCTATCTATCTATCTATCTATCTATCTATCTATCTATCTATCTATCTATCTATCTATCTATCTATCTATCTATCTATCTATCTATCTATCTACTATCTATCTATCTATCTATCTATCTATCTATCTATCTATCATCTATCTATCTATCTATCTATCTATCTATCTATCTATCTATCTGTCCGTCTGTCTGTCTGTTGAAAGTACGATAGAGTCCGAACGGAAAGAGCTAGACAAAAATATTTTGTTTTAGAAATTATTATTTTGTTAATCCGAAAGGGATGTGCCCCTTGTCTGTCTGTCCGTATGTCTGTCTGTCTGTTGAAAGTACGATAGAGTCCGAACGGAAAGAGCTAGAGAGTGGACAAAAATATTTTGTTTTTAGAAATTATTTTTTTGTTAATCCGAAAGGGATGTGTCCCTTGTCTGTCTGTCTGTCTGTCCGTCCGTCTGTCTGACAGACAGTCAAATATCAACCTAAGGTTTATCGGAGAGCATTCACTTTACGGCATACGGTACCTGTTAAATATCAAGAAAACCTAGTTTAAAGCTCAAAGAATAAATTATAGTGCTCCTTTACTTAATTCTAAATTTAAAGAACCTCTACTTCTGTTTAAAAATTCTTTAAATTTAAAGTACCTGCGATCATCATAACCCAATATTACTACATTCATTTATATTTCTTAAGAATTTCCGGTTTTGTTTTCTTATTATGTACAACTTGTTATGGCAACAAGTACAATGAAAATAATAACAATTGCGGCAATATTGTCAACAATAGCAACTGTGAATAAAAAAACTTTTAATTTTTTCTTTCCACCATTTAAATGTAAATGCCACGTAAAAATATACATAAATTACAATAGGCATAATAGGTACAAATATTAAAGGTAGAAAATAATAAGCGAATTACTTTGGATTGTATAAAATGAAGAAGAATATAAAAAGAGAAAGTGAAATATTGTGGCCACTTAAGTAACTTAAGGAAAAAGTTTTTCTTATAATAAGCATCTTTATATACATTTTAAAGTTAATTTTCATAGATTTTATTATAAAATATATAAACCAAAAAATTTAGATTATAAAAATAAATATATTTTAATTCTCCAAATACAATTAATTCCATAAAATATTAAAAACATATATTTATATTTTAATAAACTCTTCAATATTCTATCACCATAATCTGCATAAATATTCATTTAAACTTGTATTCAAACAAGTTCATAATCCTCATCGAAAGCAAAACATATGGTCACGAATCTCCTGGAGGATAAAAACTTTCATTGAAATGTCATAAACTTTTATTAGTTTAAATATTATTCCTACACCAATTATTTTTTCATGACAATATAATAATTTATTTATTATTTTAGTATAGTTTGCATACAAAAATATACATATCGCTCATTTGCCTACAAAGGGACATAACTCAAAGTCGGATATTTTTTAAGTGAATGAAAGAAAAGAGAACTCTTTTGGTACATATGTCCATATACATATATACATGTGTATAAAGGTTATTATAATTCAAAACTGAAGGTATTTGCAAAGGTTATTTAAACTATGTTTATGAGTTATAGCACTTTAGTTGCAAAGACTCGTTATGTACAATGTAATTTATTGGTGGTTTAGGCAAAATAATAAAAAAATTGTTTTTTTAGTGTGAGTTGAGAAGCTGATTCATAGGAGACCTTATATGAGAGGTAGGGTCAATTATGGATTGATCCACATAAAATTTGTTAGGGAGATTTGACTCATATGAAACTTATTTATGAACTTATTTATGTTGAATTTCATCGCTATAGTCAGGGGTCCACTTGTATGAGGGCTTTTCAAAAACGTGGACCGATATGGCCCATTTTCAATACCAAACAAACTTTACCTATACTAAATAAAAGTTAACAAACGTGGTTAACTCAAAATGCGTTGTAAATAGTGAGCTTACCACGTTTGTTAACATTAGACAACAGATGTGCATAAAGTTTAGATTGCGACAACGAATTGTTGCAATGTTGACAAAGTTGCGTGGTCTACATTACTTTAATTCCATAATTCTCTTAGTTACATCAATATCACGATGAAATTTAGCATAAATTACTTTTATATAAACCTTAATCCTTCCACCAAATTATATGATCGGCCCATATTTAGCCCTATCCCCTATATGAAGCTTCTTTCGGAAAATCAGTTTTGAAAAAATTTTGTATCAAGAAAAAGATCAATAACGTCGTCAATTGCTAACGGATTTTAAAAGCAATGTTGCGTTTTATTCATGAATAAGCCTGGGTT